CCCCAGGGTGGGTCTAAGACGGACCCAACTAGGTATACCATGTTCTCGAGGGCAGGACCTGAAGTCCCTGACTATTGAAGGACGGGGCCAGGGTGATCAAGAACATGGGCCGGGCGGTGAGGAAGAGGGTCTCCTGGGGGGCTCTTAGACCTCTGTGCTGCGCGTGGTACACGAGAGCCGGGGCCGAGAGGACGGGGCTCTGTGGACTTGGGCTGGGGAGCTGGAGGACTGTAGCGAGCCGAGCCTCTAAGGTTGGGGACGGCGGGGCTGGGTCGAGAAGATGGGTGTCTTGGGGGGTGTGTCGTTGGGAGGCCTGTAAAACTGGAGCATGGTGGGGGCGGGGCCGAAAAGACGGGACGGTGAGACGTGCCGCCAAGAGTGGGTTGGGAAGAGGGACTAGGGGCTTGCGGGGCAGAGTCGGGGGGATGCTCGTGGGGCTGTAGGTTGAGGTCCTCCCCCGGCCTCCCCCCGCCCCTCGGTCACCCAGCTGCGCCTCCTTCGCTGGCTCCGCTGGCTGAGCGGACGGCGGCGGGCGGCGTCTTCGGCCCAGGCCAGGTCCAGGTCCGGCTCGGCTCCATCTTGGGCCGCTGCGCCGAGCACCTGTGGCGGCCACAGGAGCAGCGCTTCCGCCGGCCTCCGCGGCCCCGGGCGGGCAAGAGGGTGAGAGGCCAGCTCCGTGCTCGCCCGTGTTGGGGCGAAGGAGGGTGGGATGGGCGGCACCTCCCTTTCTTGCGCCCGGGAACCCCACTCCTCACCTTTTTCTGAGCTCCGACCCTACGCATCCCGGCCCCCGCCCAGTGCTCAGCGCACCCCAGGGCTGCATCCCTTCTCCCATCTCTGGACTCATTGCCTGAACTATACCCTTTCCACATCTCCTCTGCCCATCCTCCCATTTTTCAATATTCAATGCCCAGGACCTCGTCTCTTTCTGCCAACCCCCACCGTTCCTATCGCTTCGTCCCCCTTCCTTCCTCTTCCCTTTTCCATCCTCACCCCTCATCCCACTCTCCTCCCACTGCCCCCAGCCCCCGACCTCCCTTCACTCTCATTCCTATCCCTGCCCGCTTACCCCATAGCCCCCCTGTTCCTCCAGTCACAGTCTTTGCTGCTGGGAAGGTCTGTAGCCCTGTTTAGGGGGTCATGTTGAGGACCTTCTCCCTGAGTCCAGGTGGGCTTTGTGGGGGAGGGCAGGACAGGCACCCTTGCCCTAGGGGAGAGTGTATGGTTGCGTGTGTTCAGGCCTTTGGCCCCACAGTTAGAAGCGGCCTATCGGTCTGGTGCGCAGAGTGCAGCTGTGTGGATGCTGTTTCCTGCAGGCTCACACAGCAGACGGGCCTTATGTGTCGGCCCCTAGTGGGTCCGTGGGTGTGGTGTGGGCCTATACTGGTTCATGGGAGCCCATGGCCACACAGGTAGGGACACATCAGCCACCTGGGCTGCTTCAGGTCTGGGGCAGCTGGGCCTGGAGGCTGACCTTTTTCATCTCCGGCTCCTCTTGGGAAATATGGGCAAATCCTCCTCAAGGGAGGAATCTCTTGCCTGGTGGGGTCTAGGCCTGTCTGTGGTGAGCAGAGCTGGGTCTGGGACCTCTGCCCCACTGTTTCCCAGAACCCTTTCCTGGCACAGCTTGTGACGTGGGCACTTTGTTCTTAAGACTCTTTCATCCTCTGTGAAGGGCAGATTTGTGCCTCCAAACACTTCTCAGTAGCTCAGGAATGCTCCCCTCTGCTTTCCCCAACTTTGACCCTGTCAGTCCTGTCAGGCCCTCCCTTGCTGGGATGGATCAGACCACCTACTGGAGGTTGCCACACCCCTCACTATACAAAGAGGGACTTGGGTGGTGTATGTCCCCACCTGGTCCCTAAGAGGTAAGTTCATATCTCAACATTTGAGGAGTGTGTGTGTGTCCGTATGCATGCATGTATGAGCGTTATGTATACGTATTCTCCCAAACTGAGGTTTAAAATAGACTTGGAAACAGTGTGATGATGGAGACATTGGTGGTGACTACCACCATCCTAGGATGGGATGAGGAAGGGAAAGATTAAGAAGCAAACCAAACTACCCTATAATCTAAATGGCTTCCTCAAAGCCATCTTTCTACCCCTACCCCCACTTCCAAGTACTAGTCCTGTGATACCTTGAGCACAAGTCACTCTTGATGGGAGGAAGAAAGGTAAGATTATTAACAATCACTGTTCCAAGCAGTCCATATGCCATCACATTATGTCTTCACAATAGCCCTGCAGGGTGGGGATTTATTTCCGATTTGCAGATTGGGGAAACTGAGGCTCAAAGAGGTTAGGGGTCCACCTGAGTGTGCATGCGTAGGAAGGGCAAGAGCCTGGATTGGAAGTATACCCCTTTGCTTTGCCTGTTCGTCCCTGGCTCCAGAGTTCATCTGATCAGCTCTATTGCTTCCTGGGAGGCCTCTATTCTTGGTGGTAGGTGGGATGTGAAAAACCTTCTTTCCCTAGCATAACTCAGAACAACTTCCCTTGAAGCTCTTCTCTCGATCAGACTGGGAAGTCCAGCTGGGGTTCAGTTGTGGGTTCTTTGACATTTCTGAGCTGTTCCAGATCTCAGATTGTCACCTGCAATTTGTGGAGGTGGACTAAGGAAGAAAACTAACAGAAATACAACCTCCCACTCCCCTGGGGTCTTTTTGGGCACTACTTTCACTCTGAGTGATGGCCAGCTCTGAGCATCAGGCAGCCATCTGGTGAGGCAGATCCAGCAGTACCTTGTCACTGACAGCTTCTCACCAAGTCCTGGTAGAGACTAAGTGTGTCCCCAGTCTTGACTACCTGTTTCCTCAAGGAGACCAAGGTCTGGCTTCTTATGGCCCTCTTCAAGAGAAGGGTCCAGAGTAGGTAGGGTTCAGTCAGAGGCTGTGTATGCTGTCCAGATAGGACTTCCTTGGTGTTCTTGGACTTGGAGCTCAGTGGTTGTCTGCCTGCCAGCGTCCATCTATGACCACAGCCTTCCTAGCCAGCAGGTCTCCTTCTGTCTTTCTGACTCTCGGCTGCATACAGAGCTGCTAAGAAGCAGGTAGGGTGAACGGGCATCGGGCTTTGTTCTTACTTGCTCAGTTGTCCCACTGGCATGTCATGGGTACCACTGGGTAGCCATGTGCTGGGTGCTGGGACTCCAGTTGGGTCATGGCAACAATAAATAAAAAGGGATGCCAGTGGAAGAGTGACAGTGTCCAGGACGGAGGTCTGCACTGTTCTCAAGAGGGAGCTCAGAGAACCTCAGACACTCCTGAGTTTGATTCCTGGCTTAACCACTTACCAGCTGTGTGCCCTTGAACAAGTCACTAAACCTCTCTGAGCTCCTCTTCTGTAGAATGGAGAAGATGACTTATCTCCTGAGATTGCTCTTACTATTACATGAGACAAGGCTGGAAAGGAGATGGCACATGCCTGACACATGGTGGGTGATTGGGCACTTGAAACTGCTGTTCTTACTATCATCACTGTGATTGTTATTGGCTTTGTTGCCCTTCTCTGTTTATATGTCCACCTTAGAGCCTGAGAGTAGGGCCTGGGCCACAGTCTTTTCTTGTCTATTCATTATTTTCCTGACTCTTCCAGGGACAAGTCTGGCTTCAGCCCCAAGGAGCAGCCAGGACAGGAGACTCCTGCCTAGGCTGGTACCATATGTAGAGCTGCACAGTCCAGTGTGGTCCTCAGTAACACTATGTAGCCCTTTAAATTTCAATTTTGTTGTTTACTCCCTAAGTCATGTCTGACTCTTTTGCAACCCCATGGACTGTAGCCTGCCAGGCTCCTCTGTCCATGGAATTTCCCAGGGAAGAATATTGAAGTGGGTTGTCATTTCCTTCTCCAGGGCATCTTTCTGACTCAAGGATCGAACTCACATCCCTTGCATTGGCAGGTGGATTCTTTACTGTTGAGCACCTGGGAAGCCCTAAATTTCAGTTACTTAAAATCAGAAAATCAGTTTCTCAGTTGCACTAGCCATCTATCAAGTGGTCAGTGGCTGCATGTGACCAGTAACAACCATAGTGGACAGCACAGAGCAGCATCTTTCCATCACTGCTGAAAGTTGTGCTGAACTGGCCTTCATAGCAAGCCTGGAACTCTCAGGGGACAGTTGCTCTAGAAACACCCTCACCATTGGCTTGAACAGCCACCAGCCATCTCCTGAGCTCTGGGGCAACAGGAAGTTTTAATATACAGAAACTGAGCTCCCGAGAGCCCTTCCCACATTCCCTTTCAGTGGCCTTGCTCACCTGGCCAGGGTGGTTGGTTTCGTGGCAGTTCTTATCAGCCCAGGCTGGGAGGACAGGACTGGGATTGCCCCAATTGCCACTGTTGCCTGCTGTCCCCGCCCTGTTTCTCCAGCATGTCTTGCCTGGCTGGGAGTCTCAGAGTGATGTTTCTTATTCGCAACTTTGCCCTGGGCCAGGCTGGCTCATGCCCTGACCCCACTCCCTCTCTCTGGGCCCTGCCCAGCTCCCAGCCTGCTGCCACCTTCTTATGATCTGAACATATGCCTCCTGCTTTCAGCTCACCCTGTTTCTTGTTCCTTCCTCCTGGGCACCATCTTCTTCCTCTCTCTCCAGGCCCAACCTGCAGGTCTGGAGGAGTCTGTATGGCTAGAGAAAGGGACAAGAATGACTGAAAGGGAGCTGGGGCAAGAGAGTACATGTGTCTGATTGGTGGTACAGGTATTCCCTGCTTTTCAAAAGTTTGCTTTATTCCACTTCACTTTCATGGGAGACCTACATTAGTTAGTAACTGTTTTCAGTAATGGAAAGAAATTCGGAGAGTTTTACAAGACAAGGTAATTGTTTCTTTACACTATTTTGGTTTATGAAAAGGTTTCATAGGAATGCTCTTCTTTCAGATAGTGGGGGTGTGACCTGTATTGGACCCCATTTGCTGGGCACAGCAGATCTACATTAGTTCCATGTTGCCTGATCTCAAGAGTCTGGCACACAGAAGGTGCTCATGAGATGGCAGTGGGAGGAAAGAACAAATGCCGAGTGAGCCCTAAAGGGCTGATATGGGAGCCTTTCCTATCCTTGGAGCACACAATGGGAGCCAGGAAATCCCTTCCCCTTCACAGTGGCCAAGCCTGAGCCCCAGAGACTGGACAGCCCAGCCAGGCTAGGCCAGAGAGGATGGGGAGGGAGCATGAGAGGACCCAGGGTGTTCTGAGTGTGCCCTGTACTCATTTCTTTCTCGCTCCCCAAAACTTCTCTGCCCCCCACTGTGTACCAAAGAGGCTCCAGTCCAAGTGAGTGAGATAGTGATGGTTTTGGGAGGAACCAGGGTAGTATTCATCCATCCAGCTTTACTGGTTATTAAAATACTGTAATAGTTCTGTGCTGATTGACTAAGAGCTATTGTCCCAAAGCCCCGAGCCCCAAGACCCCAGCAGGCTTGGCCTCTCCCCTGGCTTCCCACTCCCCTATAAACCTGCAGTAGAGTCAGCAACTGGATGATCTCTAGGATCTTACCCTAGGGCTGGTTCTGATCACTCGGTTTTGGTTTTTAGATATTTGAAGTGTCATCCTATGTATGTGTGGTGACCTTGATTTGAAGTGTCTGGTCTCCTGTGATCGTTTTGCTTGTGGCCCTGACTGGTCAGGCGGGCTGAGACCGAAGCTGTCCCCGCAGTTTGCCTCGCACTGTGTGAGCCCCCAGCAGAATCCAGCAGAGATGCTGCTACCCAACTCAGTGCCACCCCCTCCCTCTCTCTCTCTCCTGCAGGCAGCCATGAGATCCAGCCGTCCTGAGCCGGATGCCCCGGAACCCCTCAGTGCCCGCCCTCAGCCCCTGTCCCGAAGTTCCTCCAGCCTGCTGGGCGAAGGCCGGGGGCAGAGGCCAGAGCATCGCAAGAGGGCCAGCAGCACTGAATGGCAGGCCCAGCTGGGCGAGGCCAGCACTGGTGCCCAGGTTCCGGAGGAGGAGGGGCAGCAGGCTGAGCGCACGCAGCAGGCACGGGCCTCCAGCCCCCAACCGCAGCCCAGTGCCGTGGGCCACTGGCGTAGCAGCACTGTGGGCAACGTGTCTGCCATGGGCGGTAGTGACCTGTGTTATCCGCGGGACCCCAGCGCCGCCGCTGTGCAGAGGAGCCACTCGGACCTGGTTCGCAGCACCCAGAGCCGGGGCCACAGTGGTGCTCGAAAGGCCAGCCTCAGCTGCTCAGCCCTGGGCAGCTCGCCTGTCCATAGGGCTCGGCTGCAGCCCAGCAACCCCTCTGGCCAGAGTGGTCAGACCCCTGCAGGCTTGGAAAGGGACCTGGCTCCGGAGGACAAGACTTCAAACTCAGCCTGGACACTGGAGAGTCAGGAGGGGGTGCCACCAGCTGCCGTGGGAGGCACAGTGACCCACAGCAGCAGCCCCAAAGCCACCGGCCAGTCGGCCACCACCTCCTGCCATTCGTTGTCTCCAGCAGCCCCACTCTGTGGCGTGAGGGAGGTGGGGGCCAGCAGTTGCTGCCATGGCTTGCCTGCCCCAGGGATTCTGGCCTTTCCCAAACTAGTGGCTTCAGTGAGTGAATCTAGGCTGCAGGCTCAGCATGGGGTGAAACTCCAGTGTAGGTTTTCTGGGGGGCTTTCTGGGCATTCCCACTGCTGTGCCCACCCTTGGGGTCCCACCGGGTTAGCCATGGAGCCTAGTGCCAGGACCAAGGATATGTGGACCATGACCTCGGCAAGTGACTTGGCCCCAGTCTTGGCTTCCCCTCTGTCAGCCCAGGATGCTGGTGTGCAAGCAGTCCCCAAGGCAGTCTGCAAGGCAGTGGCCACTAGTCCACCTCTGGAAGCCCCCGTGGCCCTGCATATGTTCCCTGAGGTGACTCTGGAGTCCAGCCTGGCAGAGGCGCCATCTCCTGTGCGCGACGTACGGTGGGATGCTGAGGGCATGACGTGGGAGGTGTATGGAGCTGCAGTGGACCCGGAGGTGCTCGGTGTGGCCATCCAGAAGCACCTGGAGATGCAGTTTGAGCAGCTGCAGCGGGCCCCTGCCAGTGAGGACAGCCTGTCTGCTGAGGGTAGGAGGGGGCCACTTCGAGCTGTCATGCAGTCCCTGCGGCGCCCCAGCTGCTGTGGCTGCTCCAGTGCAGCCCCTGAGTGAGGCGCTGCAGCCCCTGGAGCTGCCCGGGGTGCACGGACTCAGCCCCAGGGACAGTGGGGTCCCCATGCTCTTTGGATCCACAGGCACCCACCGACGTGTCTCTGTCCTCTGCTGCCTGCAGATCACAGGACTGCAGCCTGTGGGTTCCCTGCCCCCGGCAGTTGGGCTAGTTTTTAAGGGCTTGATTCCCAAGAGCCACATGTGGGCTCTGAACTTTGGGACAGTTTCAACACTGTGCATAAGGGGGATCCTGACTTCTCTGTAAAAACTCTTGACCTATCCAGTCTCTGTTCAGAACTCTGCCATGATTTCCCCCAGGCCTCTTTGTGGCTTTATTTTCACAACAGTGCTGAGATACAACAAATTCCTGACGTAAGAGGTGGGGTCTCAAGTGGCAAGGGCTGTCTAAGTCTTTAGGGAAGGGAACTGACATTGTCGAGGCTTCCTGTGTGCCACATGCTTGTCAACTCACTTTCCTGAGTCTTCACCGTGTTTTATAGACATAACCACAGACATTTGGCAAGACTGCAGCTGCCATGCCCAGGTTGGACAGCTCATGGTGGTGGGCTAAGAGCAGAGCCGGGGGCTGGCTGAAGCCTGGAGTGTTTTCCTGCAGCATGTGGTGGGCAGAGCAGGGCAATTGTGAACAAGAATTTATTGAGCCCATATTCAGTGCCAGGTTTTGTGGATTCCTTGGGGAAGAAGCTGCCTGTGCCCTTGTTGAGCTCACAGTATGTGGGACGGGAGGGCTCTGAGCATTATAGAGGGCTGCAGGGTACTTCTCGGAGCCAACCCCCTGGTAGATCATTGTGTTAAGGTCTGGCAAAGGTTAGTCACTTGGCATGAGAAGTTGGAGTCAGGACCCACATGCAGCCCTGCCCGTGACACGGTCCTGTTCCTGGGCCCCTTCTGCACCCAGAATCCCAGGATCTGACAGCCAGCATACTCCCCATCCCCCAGGGACCAGTACTCTTGAGGTGGAAATGGCTTACAACAGTGGGTTAACTTTTAAAGCAGTAGTGACCACAGGCCAGAGAAACCAGGTGAGAAAGGCATGTTTCAGGTCAGAAAGCATCCCAAGGCCCAGCATGGGGCTTTCATATTCCAAAATGTGTCTTTCTCACTCTCAGCTGAGGCTGGGTAAGCTGCCACTCCTGCTTGAAAATGACAGCAGATCAGAGCTGCTTCTGAGGGTGGGCCTGGGGCAAAGGGGTGGGGTGGTGTGCAGGAGGGGACTTGACTTTATCTCTCTTTTAAAATGTGATCAAGCAGGTTGTCATGCAGTCACGAGGCTCTTGACACCCTGTAGCCTGGGGTCCTGGGCCTGTCCATCCCTCCGTGTGCGGAACGGGGCAGGCGAGTCCGCTCTTGGGAGTGACAGGTGGGCACCAGAGTGACCTCATCTCTGGCCCTGCACGGGAGCACCAAGAACCCCAGTTGTGGGGACACAAGGGGAGGGGTGATGAACTGGCGTAGGACGTCACCTTCACACAGGGCCAGAGCTGAGCAGGGTCTTGAGGACACAGTGGGGCTGGATGGGTGGGTGAGTGGGATACGGCATACCAGGCAGAGAGAACAGCCTGGCCAGAGGCTTTGGAGGTTCCTATCCTGCCCGGGTTGTGGTGAATCATTGAAGTACAGGCTGTATTGGGGTGCTTGTCGGGTTGGGAGGCTGGTAAGGGGATCCCAACTATGAAGCTCCTGATGTGACTATGGAAGGGGACTTTATAAGAGCTGTGGATGCAGGAGTGGGGCCAGATTTCATTACAGTAATATCCCTTTGGCTGCCATGAGGGGAGGTTCATGTGGAAGAAGTGGGAGGCGGAAGCCTGGGCGGGGGAAGGGGTACTTGGGTACGGGAGCCAAGGAGGGGCCTGTTAGGGGGAAATGGAGTGGGTAGCTGGGGCTGAGCACGCATACTCATACACAGTGTGTGGTGGATTTGGGAAGAAGGAGGAGTTGCGGAAAGCTGAGGTTTCCAGTTTGAATAAAAGGAGATGAAGCTACCACGTGGGACAAGGTGGGACCCCGGGAGGGGCAGGTGAAGGGCCATATGCCCCAGGGCTTGGTGGGCACCAGTGACACCCTTCATGAAGAGACTTTCTCCTCTGTGCTACACATATCATCATGAGTTTATTCTCCATATACCACCTCTACATGCTACACCAGGTATGCCAAGATGGCAGGCTGGGATGCACCCTGAATGGGAAGGGCTAGCCCAGCCACCCACCT